CAAATTCCCAAATTCCCAAATTCCCAAATTCCCAAATTCCCAAATTCCCAAATTCCCAAATTCCCAAATTCCCAAATTCCCAAATTCCCAAATTCCCAAATTCCCAAATTCCCAAATTCCCAAATTCCCAAATTCCCAAATTCCCAAATTCCCAAATTCCCAAATTCCCAAATTCCCAAATTCCCAAATTCCCAAATTCCCAAATTCCCAAATTCCCAAATTCCCAAATTCCCAAATTCCCAAATTCCCAAATTCCCAAATTCCCAAATTCCCAAATTCCCAAATTCCCAAATTCCCAAATTCCCAAATTCCCAAATTCCCAAATTCCCAAATTCCCAAATTCCCAAATTCCCAAATTCCCAAATTCCCAAATTCCCAAATTCCCAAATTCCCAAATTCCCAAATTCCCAAATTCCCAAATTCCCAAATTCCCAAATTCCCAAATTCCCAAATTCCCAAATTCCCAAATTCCCAAATTCCCAAATTCCCAAATTCCCAAATTCCCAAATTCCCAAATTCCCAAATTCCCAAATTCCAAAATTTCCAAATTTCCAAGTCCCTAAATCCCCAAATCCCTAAATTCCCTAAATCCCCAAACTCCAAATTCCCAAATCCTTAAATCCCTAAAATCCCCAAAACCCCAAATTCCCAAAAATTTAAATATTCCCAAAACCCTTTTTTCCCAAATTCGAAAAATTGAAAATTCCCTAAACTCTCATCTGCGTGATCTTTACTCGATCGCTGCCCTAACGTTGCACGAATATGCCCGGAAGCCCTTCGGGCACTACCCTGCCCATCACTGCTCTAGATACCAAAAAAAAGAGAGATATATTCTACGCTATAGTAAATCCGTAACGCCGGTCAAAACGCGTTTTTCTCTTGTGAGTTGGTGGATATTTTTTAGAGACAATTGATTACAAATTGTGCCAAATTGATTGTACCCTGCGACGAGGGAGTTTGTTATATCTTTATTTTCGAATGAACTTTGTTGAATAATATTTAACGCATTGGTAAAGTGTCGTAGGAAAACAATAAAACTATTACTCTCTGTATGTTGTGTATACTTATTTATTTCTGTGATTGTTTTCGTTTTTTATTGCAAATTTTATAAATTTTTAATTCCTTAATTCTACAATTTTCAAATTTTTACATTTCCCAATTTTCCCAATTTTCTCAATTTTCTCAATTTTCTCAATTTTCTCAATTTTCTCAATTTTCTCAATTTTCTCAATTTTCTCAATTTTCTCAATTTTCTCAATTTTATTAATTTTATCAATTTTATCAATTTTCCCAATTTTCCCCATTTTTCCTAGTTTTCTAACTTTTCCAAATTTTGCAATTTTTCTAATAAAGTAACGTCTATCAAGCTACATACATGTATTTAGAAATCAATCAACATGAAAAATAAATTAATAATCAATGATCATTATCAATCTCTTTACATTTACATATCTCGTTACATTACGAATTTTAATTAGCATAGTCAACTAAAGAAATAGATAAAAACAGACGAAAGAATAATAGAGAAACAAACAAAAACCAATTTTGAAATCCTTTTTACTAAAAAATTATTTAATACATAAACATCTACAAAAATGCCACAAAAATGTAAAATAAAAAGACTCGCAAGCAGTCTATAAAATAATATACAAAAGATCTATAATTATGAATAGAAATAAACATTACGTTCGTTAATTAATTGAACGGGTCTGCAATTTAACAAAATGGGTCCATTCGCTGAACAAACTTTCCTGAATTGTGCAACCTGTTAATTAAATGTGCAATTAAAATTAATTTCAACATTGAATTTTACAAAAATTTAGATGAGGATTTAGTATAGATAGTTGTTTTTAATTAATACTTGAGAGGAAGATATGGCAATTGGTTCAGGTTGGACGATCCACGTGACGATTTCGCTACAGGGCGGCTGAGTCAAGGAACCATTGTAAGTATAGTAATTATTTTCTGGTAAGGAAGAAATCCATGTTAGGGGGAATGGTGGTATGTGTAGTTTCGATCCTGGTTCTACGATTTGCCATAAGTTTGTTACGATGTGATCCAAGTATGGATTATCTGCATTTGTGATCTGTAAATTAGATGTCAAGTAAAATTATAACAATTGTAATAAAATACTAGTTTAATCCCTATAAAAATTTGGCAAAATTTTTAATAAAGTTTAAATTTTTTAAATTTGCAAAATTTTCGCTAAATTCCTATAAATTTTGCTGAGCGTAAAATTGTTTAAATTTGCAAAATTCTCCCTAAATTTCTAATCTTTGAATTTATACAAATTTTACTAAACTAAACATTTTTTAAATTTGCAAAATTTTCCCTAAATTCCTTAAACTAGCAATTTTTTTAAATATTTATACTAATTAAACAAAATTAAAAAATAATTTTATGTAATGAAATTAATGAAATTATTACAATAAAAATGTTTAACTTGTTTTTATATTTTTAGAAATTTCACCTGGAAGAAGAATGATACGATGAGTAAAGCATCGCTAGTTTTAGAAGTAATAGCATCCATCAATGAATTGAATTCTCGTTTTATGTGCCACACTTGCAGTTCCATGGGGTAGCGAACATAATCTATAGTGTGTTCACTGCCTTCATCGTTTGATTGACCCCAATGAAACACTAGTGAGCAGAGATCATAGCTGTCAGTCAATGATCCACCTTCAACGTAGGGACGACTAAACCTTCCCCATGAGGTGTTTACTATGACTGGAAATTAAATAATTATGTAATGAAGAAATTATAGAAATATCGATGCTTGATTTTACATATTTCCCAATTTCTCAATTTCTCAGTTTTCTCAATTTCTCAATTTCTCAGTTTTCTCAATTTCTCAATTACTCAATTTCTCAGTTTTCTCAATTTATCAATTTCTCAATTTTCCAATTTTCCAATTTTCCAATTTTCCAATTTATCAATTTCCCAATTTCCCAATTTTTCCAATTTTTCCAATTTTCCAATTTCCCAATTTCCCAATTTTCAAATTCCCTAATTCCAAATTATCTAATTTCCCAATTCGCTAGTTCCTCGACTCACTAACTCCCCGACTCTCTAATTCCCCGATTAGCTAATTCCCCAATTCTCTAATTTCCGAATTCCCTAATTTCCCAATTCCCTAATTCCCCGACTCCCTAATTCCCCGAGTCCCTAATTCCCCGATTCCCTAATTCCCCGAATCCCTAATTCCCCTAATCCCTAATTTCCCAATTTCTTAAATCCTCAATTCCCTAATTCCCCAATTTCCCAATTCCCTAATTTCCCAATCCCCTAATTTCCCAATCCCCTAATTCCCCAATTTCCTAATTTCCCAAATTTGAAATATTAAAATTACATAAATTTCAAATTATCCCGCCAATCTCTCTCCTCACCCCAATAATAAAAAACCTATGAGCATACTTTACTATTAAACGAATTATCCTTAATTAAACATTCTTCTTCTTCTTCTTCATAAGTGTTTAACGTCGATTGTAAATGATTATAAATAAATAATATTACTTATAAACACTACGGTAATAAATTTTCATTCGATGAAATATCACCATTATTTCCATTGTTCAATATAACCATGGATAACGGTCCCTTATCGTATCCAACCCAATGAAGAGGTTCTGACGGTTGCACCACGACAGCCGATCGTGTTGTAATGTTTATTGGGGATTGATTATTGCCGCTGCTATCGGGGTATAACACTTTCCACGTGTGTGGTCCATTTCGATCTGTGTAATCAAATGTGAACGAAGGAAAGCACTCGCTTTCCACCCACGGGACCAGTTGCGTCCAATCGAGAACTTCGGTCAGCAGCAGAACTTGAACGACGCAGTTCAGGGAACATAATAATGCGATAAAACACAATTATCAGGCATATTGATAGTTTCACAACATACAGGGTGTCTCATAATTGATGTAGGTCCTTGAAATGGGGGGTAGCTGACGTGATTCGACGCCCCGTATTTCCGCGTGTTGAATCTCCACGCGGCGTAATTGCACGCGTTATTTTCCCTATATTTCCACGCGTCATGTACCCTACGCCCCGTATTTCCACGCGTTCAATCTCCACGCGGCGTAATTCCACGCGCTATATTCCTTACGCCCCTATTTCCACGCGTCATATCCCCTACGTCTCGTATTTCCACGCGTTAAATCTCCACGCGGCGTAATTCCACGCGTTAAATCTCTACGCGGCGTAATTCCACGCGTTATATTCCCTACGCCCCTATTTCCACGCGTCGTATTCCCTACGCCCCGTATTTCCACGCGTTGAATCTCCACGCGGCGTAATTCCACGCGTTATATTCCCTACGCCCCTATTTCCACGCGTCATGTACCCTACGCCCCGTATTTCCACGCGTTGAATCTCCACGCGGCGTAATTCCACGCGTTATATTCCCTACGCCCCTATTTCCACGTGTCATATCCCCTACGCCCCGTATTTCCACGCGTTGAATTTTCACGCGATGTAATTCCACGCGTTATATTCCCTATGCTCCCTATTTCCACGCGTTGTAATTCCACGCGTTATATTCTCCACTCCCCTCATTTCTACGCGTCCGTGTTTTTCCTTAATAATTCAATAACAAAGCTTCCAACCCCATTTTTACAAAGGGAAATCTTATTCAAAATAACGTCAGCTACCTCCCATTTCAGGGTTCTACAGTAGTTGTGACATACCCTGTATGGATCGTTTATTTTGAATGTGGTGTAAAACCATTTTCTTTTTTTTTGAGAAAATGAGAATTGTCAATGTAAAAATATAGATTATTATCAAAACTGGTTATTCAGCAATTTTTTTACTGATTGATCGATGTGTAATTTGTTATAAATACTATACAAGTAAAATATTGTAAAATAATTTTTGTAAAATACTGTATATTCATGCAACTGAACTTACACCACAATATAAACGGTTCATATCTTGCATTATTATAAAAAATTTTAATAAATTAAAATAAAATGTAGTCATACATTTTTTAACAAAATATACATTACTTCACATAATTGCCAGGCATATTGATTCTTAAATAATGTTTATAAATTATAATTTATATGATTTGTATTTATATTGACTGGATAAAATTAAATATAATATATTATATATTTTGCAATGTATTTAAATGATTGCTTTAGTTGTATGACTTACAGATCAGAAGAATAGTGCTGCATAAAATCATGAACTCTGACACTGAAATGTTAATCATTTTTATTTTCTTCGAAACGATTATCTTGCTATCGTACGTGTCTTGATATAATTACACACGAATACAAGATTGTACTTGTAAATTTTAGAAGTCTTAGAAAATAACCTTCTGTTCAGTTTAAGTAACAGGAAACGTTTCTGTCTGACTTCAGGGTAGAGACTTTAGTTATAGATTGTTTGAACTTGGTGCGAATTGATTTTAATATACATATGGTCTATGAATTAAAAAAAATTATAGTGACAGTAAAGGGGTAAATTGTACAAAACAGAAATGTATTTATATTAATTTTCTATTAGTGGCTTTGTAGTAGTAAAAAAATAGATACAGATTTATAACGCGACTTTAATTAGAGAATTTTGTGATTTGAAGCTATTGTATTTCGTTAATATAACTTGTAAAATGTTCTGAAGATAATTATGTTGCTTTTCTAAAGCAATTTAACGCATATTTTTGCGTATATAATAGAAAAAAATCGAAATTAATTGAAATCGATTTAAAATTTATTAATCAATAATATCAATAATAATTGCGTTTTTTCAATAATTGAACTAGTAGCGCCATCTCTCCGGCGAACGGGGTGAACTACACACTTTTGGAACAGCTCTGTAATTAGTTCAATTTTTTGCCACCAGGTGGCGCTACGTGCGCAGGTAGCGCCGTCTAGTGGCAAAAAATGGAACTAATTAAAGTGCTGTTTCAAAAGTGTGTAGTTCACCCTGTTCGCCGGAGAGATGGCGCCACCTGTACGATTTTAAATCGAATTCAATTAATATTGATTTTTACGGCTAAATAAACAATTATATGCATGGAAAGGCTTCAAAAAGGCAATGTTAATTCATTTTGGAACTTATCTTTTCATATATTTCCCTACAATCATCCTTCTGTAATATAAAATTCATAGTAAAGCAACTCGCCTTTAAAGGTGTCATACATGTTTTGTAAAATTGTATGGCTCATCAGTTTCGAAAATGCCTTTTGTAAATTAAACTTAACACCTGCTCAATCTACGAATATTATTGCTATTTCAATTGACCATCATTTTTCTCAATGAAGTCATATTTGAACATTGATTAGCTAGAGTACTATTTCATTAAAAACTACGCAATGTGTAACAATCTTCACAGTAAACGTCAAAACATGGAGCTAATAACATAATATTTTTTCAAGCTTATTTCCGACTATATAATTAAAATACTGTACAACATCTGACATCAAATTTCAATCTAACAAAATTTATCTGATACCAAAGATGTTAATCAAGGGAAGAAAACAACGTAAGCAAAATAGAATTGAATTAATTATATTCTCTTAAACTTGCGTACTTTAACAATAATTGAATTAATATCATAAGAGTCGAAGACTGTTGCAATCGTGTCGACATCATCCACGGGGTTACCTAAATGGCGACAGTCACCGATTGACCTAAACAAGGTATCCACATGGACCAAAAAATTTCCACCCCTATTATTAACCAACTATTGGTCGCATGAAGGCTCTGCCACGATGACTAATACGGGAAGAACAGGTAATTGTCAAAAATTGTATTATAAAAGACACATTTGGACTTAGGGTTGTTAGGCAATTTAAGGTTCTTCAAGATTGCTTTCAATTTTAGAAATAATATTTGTATTATTTCTTGTGATACATGGTTAGATGAAAGATACATTTGGATTTAGGGTTATTAGGCAATTTAAAGTTCCTCAAGATTGCTTTCAATTTTGGAAATAATATTTATATTATTTCTTTTGATACACATGGTTAGATGAAAGATACATTTGGACTTAGGGTTATTAGGCAATTTAAGGTTCTTCAAGATTGCTTTCAATTTTAGGAATAATATTTATATTATTTCTTCTGATACATAGTTAGATGAAAGATACATTTGGACTTAGGGTTATTAGGCAATTTAAGGTTCTTCAAGATTGCTTTCAATTTTAGAAATAATATTTGTATTATTTCTTGTGATGCACATGGTTAGATGAAAGATACATTTGGACTTAGGGTTATTAAGCAATTTAAGGTTCTTCAAGATTGCTTTCAATTTTAGAAATAATATTTGTATTATTTCTTCTAATACACATTATTAGACATAATTCATGCAAGGTCCAGGTTCTCTTTCCAGATTTATATTATTCATAAATTCGAATTTCCCTAGGATTCAATTTCTCAAGGTTTATAATTCTTGCAAACCTTGTAAGTTTATTTTAAATTTAGTTTTACTTCAGTTTGTCTCTTAATTCACATGGATAGATTTGATTCATGCAAGATCTAAGTTCCTCCCCAGGTCTACGTTTTCTTAAATTCAAACATATATTTCCTACATTTTTCTTTGATATTGAAATTCCTGTTTTACATTGAAACTTTAATTTGTTTTACATTTATTAAAAGTGATTTATTTCATGATTTTTAGTGACCATCGAATTTCCAAATAGAACCCAAATGCCATACATGCGAGGTGGTCCTTTGGGCGGCGACGAGTTTCAGTTTATGAACGCGCAATTCCGTTGGGGTCCTGAGAATTCCAATGGCTGCGAGCACACCATAGACGGCATTTGGTTAGGAAATATGGGTTAGAAATTATGGAAACACGTACAATCGATTTTGACAATAACATGTCTCAGATTGTTCAATGTACAGATCATTTTTGCAATTAATTATTACACTTAGTATAACATACGTAAAAAAAAAATAATATATTGTTGATAGCAATTAATGAACTTATGTCGCTTTCAAAATTAATTAGGAAAAAATGAATTTTACTTAAAATAAAAAGTAATACATGTATACAAGCTTCCATTAAAAAATTAAAGAGTATCCAAAAATATAATATATGTTATAAAATTAAAAAATTAAACACATTCGATAACTTTATTCGCTGTTAAAAAAAAATTTAAATACAAATTGATAATATTTTGCAATTTACAACACATTCTCTTCCAATTTGCGTATGCGAGAAGGTATTGCTTCAGAATTAAAAGATAACATGGCAATATATTATAGTAGCAAGTTTGATTTTTTTAGAAAGTGGACTTACAGCACTTTGTATCATTCTTTTTATTTTAAATATAATAGTTACAGTTTGTTTTGAAATAAAAAGATAAGGTTGAAATCTATTTTTTGTAATAGTTTGATTTTTTTAGAAAATGGACTAAGGCCACTTTCAAAATAAACAGCTCGATTATGAGAGTAATAATTTTGAGTTGGTAGAAAGTTTCTTATACCGAACGACTTAAGAAAATACCTCCATAAACCAGAAACGTGTTCATAGTTATGAGCAGAAAAGTTTGACAATTTTAATTAACACTAAATTTTTAGTATTTTAATTAATACTAAAAGTTTGATCTCTTCACTTAATAGAAAATCTAATAAAACAGACCGAAACGTTATGTATCTCGTTAAAAAATAATATTCTAAGAAATTGCGTCAGTGATTCAATTTAGGAAACTGGCTTCCTAATTAGGATCACAGGTATTGTGAATGACTGGTTTTCTGGTAATTTATGAACTTTTATTTAACAGTATACTTACATACAATGAAGATATAAAAAATAATTTTGAGGAACATTTTCCAACATATTAACAAACTTTAAAGTTTCAGAAGTAAAGTTGCGGATTCAAAAATTTAAGGATTTAGGGATTTGGAAATTTGAAACTATGACACTTTTATTCATGTAGTGAGTACCGTCTACTCCAGGGGTGGCCAACCTGCGGCTCGCGAGCCACATGCGGCTCTTTGAAGGATTATTTGTGGCTCTCGATAAATGTACCCAAGTTCCCTTTTCATTTTTGTGCTATTATATTTTAAAAAATTATTATCATTCCGTATGTATTTCAAAATGTCTTTGAAATTACTGACGACAAATATGAAATACTAAATGCAACGTTGTAACAAATTTCATTTCCGTCCAAGTTAAGAATGATATGACTCATCGAAAACTGCGCCATCGAAAATTGCGGCTCGCAAAACATTTCAAATTTTGAAAAATGGCTTGGACTATCAAGGAGCTTGGCCACCCCTAAATTATTAATTTAATAATTAAGAAGTAGCTATTTGAAGAAAGGTTAAATTGACGAGTTTAAATGATAGTAACTTTAGTATTTCATACTATTTTATAGTATTTTATATTATTGTATATTATTCTGATTTTTCTATAATCTCTCTCATACCGTTATTAATTATAATTTTTGAATATTGACTACGAGCGATTTAAATAATTTTGATGTAGGTATTCCATGGAGGCTCAAGTAATGCATTGGAACACTCGTTACGGTTCTATAGATAAGTGCATGGACAAATTCAATGGGATCGCGATATTGTCGTGCCTTATGCAAGTACGAGTATGCGTAACAATTAATCCAATCGATTGATCTGTAATATGCACTTCAATAGGTCATCGGTTGCCCCGGAATCCCGGATAATCCTTCTTTAGCACCAATTACGGATAACTTGCGGAAAATCAAAAGAGCAGGAACCAACACTGAAATTTCACCCAGTACGTACATCATATCTTGTGCAATTTATAAATTTGGATATTTGTCGACATGTAAACATGCAAACCTGTAAACTTTTAAACTTGTACATTTTTTAATTGCTAAGTATTTATGTTAACACATTTTTAATTTACTAAGTTTGTAAATTTCTAAATTGTGGAGTTACTAAATTCCTAATTTACTAATTTTATAAATCTGTAAATCAGTAAATTTTTAAATTAGTGAATTCATAGTTTTATAAATACAAAAATCTAATTTCTATGATCTCATAAATGCCTGAATGTATAAATTTATAAGTAATATTTGAAAAAAAATTATTCTCAGATATAATTAATAATTTATGAAATGTTCTCCTGCCAGGTTGTTTACTGTGGATGATGGACGCATGTATGGGACGCGGTTACTATACTTATCCAGGATCGCTCACAACTTATCCATACAACGAATGCGCTCTTTGGATCGTTTCATCGACTGCAACGAAAATATCAACTCGACAGGTGAAACTAAACAATAGAAATAATAATATTAATACAAAATATTGTAAGGCAAAGGGTTAATATAAAACCAGTATGGTGCATGCTGTGGTGGTTGAGGCTATACAACGACAGCAAAGGGTTGTTATAATATAAACTGAGTTTGAATTAGTTGCAATCTAATTTTAATATATTTTTCTTCACTTTTATCACAGATCGATGCATTCAGAGGTCTCTATAATGGAAAATTACAAAATATATTGAACAATTGCAGGGAACAGCAACGTCTTCAGAGAAGAATAGTTTACTACGCTACCGACGAAGCTGTAGCGTAAAGAACAATATGGCTACTCTTATAGACTGTGTAACTAATAATAAAATTTCGTAGCAATTCGCGTAATACTTGCTATTTGTCGACAGAACTAGTATTAAAATTAATCACGTCCCTTTTTTTTAAGACATTGAAATGAGTTCAAACTGCAAACCATTTAAGTTAAAAAAAACTATGAGCTATGAAAATAATTTAGTTTAGAATTTATAGGAGCTACGTATTTTAAAAATAATTTAGTTTACAATTTATAAAAATAATTTTCAGCTTATAGGCTTGTATAAAAACGAAAAATAAAAGTAACATTACATAGCTGTTTTTCTTCAGTAAAATACTCCAAAAGCTTTCAATTTTAAAATCTGAATTATAATATATGTAATACTAAAAGCAAATGTATATTATTATTAAAACATATAAATAATATTTAATACATTAATTTAATAAATAATATTATAATAAATAACAGTATATTAATATCAAAAGTTACTAGTGTTAAAAGATCTAGATATTTTTCTAATGTTTGTTTATCAGTTGTCACTCTACACAATAACCTCTATTTCGCTAATGAATACAGTAACTCAATAAGTACTTTTTTACCATGAAATCTAATAGCAAAAAATAAACTTTTAAACATGCATTGAACTATGAAGATTAAAATCAGATAAAATTTCAGCAAATACCATAACAATGTCAGAATACACAGGACTAATAGGTAACTTGAATAAAATGATTTGTTAGCGTTTATTTTTAGGTTATATACAATATTAAAAAAGATAGATAATGTATAGACAATGGATAGACAATGTATCTGTACTTTATAAAGGATTACCAACAACTGGACAATCACCAATCAATTTGGACGATGAATTTGTACGAGAACGCCAATATCCACCCCTTGTTATGAATGGTCATTGGTTGAACGATGGAGAAGCACGTTTATACAATACTGGTAGCACAGGTAAATTTGCAATTTTCATATTTTTAAGTTTTGTAAATGTCCAAATCCCTAAACGTTCAAATGTCAAAATTTTCCAAATCCCTAAATTGCCAAATCTCTAATTCTTCAAATCTCTAAACTTTCAACTCTGATAGTTTCCAAATCCCTAAATTGTCAGATCTCCAACTTTCCAAATAACCAGACTTCCAAATTATTGGATTTTCAAATCCCTAATTTTCCAAATCGTAAAACTTCCAAATTTCTAAATTTCCAAGTCCCTAAATTGCCAAATCTCTAGTTTTCCAAATCTCAAAATTTTCCAAATCCCAAAACTTCCAAACCTCTAAATATCCAAATTCCTAAATTGTCAAATGTCTAATTTTCCAAAGCACAAAACTTCCAAACCTCTAAATATCTAAATCCCTAAATTGCCAAATCTCCAATTTCCAAATCTCAGAATTTTCCAAATCTTAAATCTTCCAAATTTCTAAATTTCCAAGTCCCTAGATTGCCAAATCTCTAGTTTTCCAAATCTCAAAATTTTCCAAATCCCAAAACTTCCAAATCTCTAAACTTTCAAATTTCAAAATTTTCCAAATCCCAAAACTTCCAAACCTCTAAATATCCATATCCCTAAATTTGCCAAATCTCCAATTTCCAAATCTCAAAATTTTCCAAATCTTAAATCTTCCAAATTTCTAAATTTCCAAGTCCCTAAATTGCCAAATCTCTAGTTTTCCAAATCTCTAAACTTTCAAATTTCAAAATTTTCCAAATCCCAAAACTTCCAAACCTCTAAATATCCATATCCCTAAATTGCCAAATCTCTAGTTTTCCAAATCTCAAAATTTTCCAAATCCCAAAACTTCCAAATCTCTAAACTTTCAAATTTCAAAATTTTCCAAATCCCAAAACTTCCAAATCTCTAAACTTTCAAATTTCAAAATTTTCCAAATCCCAAAACTTCCAAACCACTAAATATCCAAATTCCTAAATTGTCAAATCTCTAATTTTCCAAAGCACAAACTCCCAAACCTCTAAATATCTAAATCCTTAAATTGCCAAATCTCCAATTTCCAAATCTCTAAATTTTCCAAATCCTTAAATTTCCAAATCTCCACATCCCTAAATAAATCCCCCACATATTAAAAATCTCTCTTCTTCACCAATCACCATATTTACACATACTTAAACCCGCAGCAAAGATAATCCTAACTGGCGACCGAATTCCATCCACCATTTCCGGCGGTCCTCTAGCAGGCGACGTTTACGAGCTCGTCGAGGCTCATTTCCACTGGGGCGAGGACAACTGCAGGGGTGCTGAACACACCATAAACGGCACCTGGTAAAAACTTCCCCACAATATCAACGCCAAACATCAACACCAAAATATCAAAAATATCAAAACATTTCTTAAATATTTATTAAAATTTCTTAAATATCCGTAAGGTACTCCATGGAAGGACACGTGCTTCACTGGAACAAGAAATATTTCAGCTTCGAGGAATGCCAAAGGCACAAGGACGGCCTATGTATCCTGGCATATTTATTCTTAGTATGCTTGAACATTGTGTTTGTTCTTGCGGGTAATTCTCGCTCGTGTATCTTTGACTGAGAGTTGAAATTTTGCTTCGTTTCACGGAAGGTACAACCAGGTTGCTGTGATTGTATTAATCCGCAATTGGAGAGGATAACCGAAAACTTGAAATATGTGGCCGATCCGGATATGGAAGCGAAAATACCTGCTAGTGAGTGAAACGACCCTCAAACAATAATTTCAATTTTAATAACAATAGTCATAATTGAAGATTTCTTATTCTATTTTCTTTTTTTTAACTTTATGTAGCTATTTTTTTATTGGGGGGTGAAGTTTATAATTTCGATTGTAATTTTAATAATAATAATAATTGCAGATTTCTTATTCTATTTTCTTTTTTTTAACTTTATGTAGCTATTTTTTTATTGGGGGGTGAAGTTTATAATTTCGATTGTAATTTTAATAATAATAATAATTGCAGATTTCTTATTCTATTTTCTTTTTTTTTTAATTTTATGTAGCTATTTTTTTATTGGGGGGTGAAGTTTATTTAGAGCTTTCATGGCGTCCTCATATGAGGACATGCTAAATAAATTCCTGGTGTATGTACACTCGGTTTTTATTCCTTGTTTAATGTTTGTAAATATTTGTAAATGTCCTCATATTGTCACAACCAGTTTGTTAAATATAACGAATTTTGTTTAATATTTCTAATTTTTGTTCAGTACCTCGGATATATTTAACACAACTGAAAACTTAGGGATTTGGATATTTAGAGATTTGGAAGTTTTGGGATTTGGAAAATTTTGAGATTTAGAAAGCTTGAGATTTGGCAACTTAGGGATTTGGAAATTAAGAGATTTGGAAGTTGTAAGATTTGGAAATTTAGAAATTTTGATGTTTGGAGATTTGGCAGTTTAGGGATTTGGAAATTTAAAGATTTGGAAGTTGTAAGGTTTGGAAATTTAGAAATTTGGACGTTTGGAGATTTGGCAATTTAGGGATTTGGAAAATTAGAGATTTGGGAATTTGGGAATTTGGAAATTTAGAGACTTGAACGATTGGGGATTTGGCAGTTTAGGGATTTGAAAATTTAGGGATTTGGAAATTTAGAGATTTGGAAGTTGTAAGGTTTGGAAATTTAGAAATTTGGACGTTTGGAGATTTGGCAATTTAGGGATTTGGAAAATTAGAGATTTGGGAATTTGGAAATTTAGAAATTTGGACGTTTGGAGATTTGGCAATTTAGGGATTTGGAAAATTAGAGATTTGGGAATTTGGGAATTTGGAAATTTAGAGATTTGAACGTTTGGGTATTTGGCAGTTTAGGGATTTGGAAATTTAGGGATTTGGAAATTTAGAGATTTGGAAGTTGTAAGGTTTGGAAATTTAGAAATTTGGACGTTTGGAGATTTGGCAATTTAGGGATTTGGAAAATTAGAGATTTGGGAATTTGGAAATTTAGAAATTTGGACGTTTGAGGATTTGGAACATTGAAGATCTGACAATTTAGGGTTAGGAAACTATTAGATTTCAAAGTTTAGAGATTTGGAAATTTAGAGATTTACAAGTCATAATCTAATTTAAATAGTTGGTTAGCAAAGTCATGATTTTTTCCAAGAATAAATAATTGTTGAAATGGTTAAGGATTGTGAATAATTATGTTTGCACTCTTTGATAACAAGTGTAAGAGTGAAAATTATTTTTGTTTTAGACAGTTTGTGCTGGATGCGTTGGGCGACATATTGTACCAGGTACTACACGTACGCAGGATCATATAATGTCGGTGACCATCCGGAATGTGCCACGTGGATAGTGTTTCCTGTTGTTATACCCATTCGACCCAGTGATGTAAGTAACAACAGTATTTATAAGACACTATTATATTACTAGCTTATCATATATGTAGAAAATAATGGATTTGACATGATTTAATGACGTCCAAATTTCTTAAAATATATTACATTGTTAGTTTCAAGATTTATGTATAATAAATATACAGGGTGTCACAACTAGTATTTTACACAAATTAATGGAATTTTTCAGATCAACGAGTTTCGAAAACTAAGAGACAAGGATGGAAAGTGTATAACACAAAATTGGCGAGAAACGCAACAGTTAAAATGTAGACAAATATACTTAGCAGTGCCCAACCGGTGAAATTTTCAAGTTACGTTACTGTCAATGTCTTGTAACAAGTACAAGAAAATATTTATATAAAGAACTGTAATTCAAAGAGTTTTTATTAATTAGTGAACATGTTGGTTTAGTGCAGTATTATAATTACATTCTTCGGATATTTACAAAAACTCTCAAACATACCCTCAATCTGTTCATTTACCCAAACTAAAATAAATCCATTCACCCAGACTAAAATAACCAAAATCTTACCATACGAATTAAACTAATGAATTCAAATTAATACCCAAGCTTCCTCAAAAAAAATCCCTAAAAACTTTACAGTAATCGACACAAAACTCTGTCCGCCATCACTTATCACTATCGGTCAAATTATTAAACGAGTCAATGCTCGCAAAAATCTGTTCCAAGGTCTCCGCCAACAGCTGATAAACTCGAATAAAAAATATTTCCCTATACGCAAAATCATTCATCACCGACCTATTCGTAACAACTTCGCAATCAATCTGCGAAATCGAGTTCATTTCTCGGCAGCAAGTTCGCTTCGACATCTGGCTCTCGATTTCAAACCGATTGAACAGATACGCCAGTAAATTCTGCACCACCTCGTACTTGTTGCTGCGAACAGGCTTGTACAAAGTGGGCATCAAACACTTTTTGTAAACCTCGTTCAAGTGCGTCAACAACTGACGTCTGCGTTCCTGATGCTTAATTTTCAAAATGATATCTCGAAGATCCTTTATCGACAAATTCCACTGTTCTTCCTTCGAATGCGTCGCCGATCGATAAATCTTGCGAAACTCTATCAACAAACTGGGACTATAAGAGCACATCGCGTTCTTCGCGAGGAAGACCTCGGACTCTAAGAACAGACTGCCATAAGCCGGTCCAGGTGGTTCGACGGAATAAATGTCTTCCATTATCTCTTCAATTATTTCTCGAATCACGGAGTTTCGGATGCAGTGATCCAAGTACTCGTCGATGATTCGCGAAGTCCCAGTAAAATTTCTGTCCCGCGTCAACGTGTGACCCCACAAACGGAATATGAACGGGGCGGAACAGAGTTGAGGGTCGGTTATCAGCTTCCAGGACTCGATGAAAACTCCAGGAGATCGAGATCGATACCAAATTTTTAATCTCACGAACTGACCGGGGAGAATCACTCCTTTGGTCTTGTTGAAGAAGAAGGGACTTATGTGTCGGGCAACGGGCATTGCTTTCGAGCGGAACATGGCGTCCCTCCATTGGTAGATGATCACTCGGTTGCCTTTGTTCTCGAAGACGATTTCTTTCTCGTCCATGTGGCTCACTTTGCTATTGAAGGTCACGTTCCACCTGGGTAAAATTTTTTATTGGTACAGAAAAGAAGTTAACCCTTTGCACTCGGATATGACTGTTCGCAAACAGCAACTTTAAAACTCAGTTAAAAAGTTAAATGAATTTTCTTGAGGTTATTATTTCTCTACTAATAATTTCCACTATTGTTTGTTTCACTATGTTTATACATTACACGTGTCATATTATAGAATCAGTTAAAAAATTATTGTATTAAATAAAATGGTGACTCTCGAGTGCAAAGTTAATTATAAATTCATGTTTAATAATCTAGTTTCTAATAAATTCATGTTCAATGGAGGATAAAAGACACTTGAAATGTAGAAGTAAAAGAACAATATTTTCTTATTACTAAACCTACCCATATATAATGTGTACTCAATTTGAAGTTAAAAAGTAAATAAACAAACGAAACATAAATTAGTACACACATTTATTCTTTACCTTGATGAAAATCAATGCTGATTTCAAGGAATGTACTTTGACAAAATGTGTACCTTATAATAAGAAACTTATGGAGCGGTCACTTAACTGGCTTGGTGGTTTCAGTGTTAAGTACATTTAATCATATGTAGCTGTATATCATACAGAATGTTAATTTATAAAATTCCTGCTAAAATAATTGTAACACTAATTAAATGTACGAATACTTTTGTCTCGATTTCTTATAGTTTTGTGAATTTCAAGTCAAGTTATGATGTTATTGTCTTCAGTTTTAGATCATTCGCTGTAAGTGTTACGTATAATACACAGCTACATATGATTAAACATACTTAACACAGAAAATATTGCTTTCATTTCTATATTTCAAGTATATAATACTTTTGTCCTCCACTTCTCCATTTGAATCAATGATCATAGCAATCAAGGTCCTCATAAAATCAATCAATCAACTTCTCCACCTGATAGGCTCAGAGTCCTCGCTCTCCGACACAAAAGTCTGACAAATTTCCACATCCTGAATTTTCAAAACCGCCGTCTGAAGAGGATACTCGCACAATTCCTCCTCTTCCACATGTGAAATCGTAATGGGAGGAACTCTCGGTATCTCGACTTTCTTCGGAAGCACACGATTTTTGATAACCAACTGTCTACTACGCGGTTTCGGTGGCAACATCTGGAGCTCCTCCGCCAACTCGACTTTCCGTTTCCTCAGATATTCGCTGCGTTTCCATAATGGCGTCTTAGAGCTCAAACCTGCGAGACCTTTCTCTTCTTCGATTAATTCTGGCAGACCCACGTGGATGAAGTCTGGAGCTTCGTTCAGGTCTTTTTTACTGGGGGCGAATGTGATATTCGGAAGGCAGGGGTTGCTTTTGGGGATCGATGGAGGGATGTTCCAGAATTCGGGACCGCCTCGGTATTTGTCGGGGATCACCGGAAGTGGCTGAGCTGCGTGGTCCATAATGGTTCGAGTTTCGACAAGTGGACGGACAGTTTCGCAGGAGTTCATGACTTGGTTTGGTGGAGGAACGCCTGTTTTTGATTTTATGTGATCGAATTGGGTTTTTCGGTTTGAGAGCCATCGTCTCCAGTTTTTTAGACGGTTGTCCTCCTTGTGAGTTCGGTCGGGACATAAGGGTTCGTCGGTGAGAGTTAAAACGGAAGGGGGTTGCCTCACCCATTTCTTTGGTTCGGTAGATTTGCCGATCTTTCGAGCGTAATCCATGTTTTGATTGAGAGAACGAAATTAATCGGTACTGACGATATCAGTAGGGTTTTATCACCTATTGATAACGTGACTTAATAAAGTTATTTGAAGTTTTCTGATGACTTAGAAATCGTTTATCGATTGTTCGGATATCGATGTTTGGTGTGGTTCGATGTTAGTGGTCGAAGATGAGTGAGGCAGGTACACAGAAATTTAATTTAATTTAATCAGGAATTTGAAATTTGTAAAACAATTAATTAGTGATTTTAGTCAATTTATTTAACCTTGTAATAATTTATTATTTAATCACTGTTGACGTTCTGTAAAAATATTTAATTTTGTTATTTATTTACATAACCTAGTTTATTAAATTAAGGATTTGTATATAAAGTGAGATGATCAGAGCTACTAATTAATAGATAAGTTTTATGGATACTTTTACTAGTTTGTAAATTAATATACAGCCTCAGAAATTTAGAAATTTAAAAATCTAGAAATTAAAAAATGTACAATACATTTATAAAAATGTCCAGAACGACAATAATAAATTTAATAAAATTAATTGTTATTTATGTTATTCCAACATTATCCAAGACACGAGTAATGTTAGATTAAGAAATGCGGAATATATCCGAAGTTTGGCTACTAGTGACGACAACTCAAAGTCTCCGATCGATTTAAATATCGGTACCATGAACATCATAGAATTAAATCTGTTGGAATGGACTGGTTTTGACATAGCACCACGGAAATTAAAAATGAGCAACACAGGATATACAGGTTTCTTAAAGAATTTGTGTAACGTTTATTGAGAATAAATATTGTTTTATGATAGTGATTTTAAGTGCAAAATGGCAAAATGGGGCACCTTACATTTCCGGTGGACCATTGGCAGGGAAATATATGTTCGCTCAGGTTCATTTTCATTGGGGAGAAAACGAGATGGAAGGGAGCGAACATTCTGTGGATGATGCGAGGTTAAAATTTCAAATTACTATTATTTGTATTTATAAACTTATTGTATATTTAACATCTCTACAGGGTGTAACGCTACTCGTGATTTTTTTCCTACTTGCAGCCACCTTACGAAAAAAAATTTAGAACAATATTTGCACGGTATGAAGTGCACAATATTTGTAAAGCAAATTTTGAAAACAATTTGTTCTCTCCTTACGAAAAAAAGTTTAGAACAATATTTACAGGGTATGAAGTGCACAATATTAATAAAGCAAATTTTGAAAACAGTTTTTTCTCTCGGCAAAGTCAAGGTCATCTTGAGTTTTTTAAATAGGAATATACATTTTTTTTATTCATAGCATTAGAGGACATCGAGACGAATTCAAAACACATGTTACATGATATTTTTATTAACATATTACTCGATTTACAGAAAAGGAAATGTGAAGTACTTAGCTTTTGACTTTGGTAGTGTAACCATTATTTGATTCCGAAGAGATTACTGAATGTAAACACGCGACTAGAATGTAGGAAAAATACACTTTATTTAATTACATGTTCAAAATGTATGCCGCCTTCCATCACGTAATATTCCGGTCTTTTACTTCACATTCCCACTTCTGTAAATCGAGTAATATGTTAATAAAAATATCATGTAACATGTGTTTTGAATTCGTCTCGATGTCCTCTAATGCTATGAATAAAAAAAATGTATATTCCTATTTAAAAAACTCAAGATGACCTTGACTTTGCCGAGAGAAAAAACTGTTTTCAAAATTTGCTTTATTAATATTGTGCACTTCATACCCTGTAAATATTGTTCTAAACTTTTTTTCGTAAGGTGGCTGCAGGTGAGAAAAAAATCGTAAGTTACAGGTAACACCCAGTAGAATAACAGAAATACATAATACAATATATAAATAGCAACGTGCGTAAAATTTATTTTACATACCAATCGTGTAAAATATCCAAATTTTAATTAAGTGCAATAATTTCCAAAGAATGCCTATGGAACTACATGCTGTACATTTTAAGGATGAATACAGCAATTTGGACGCAGCTCTTCGAAGACCCGACGGAGTTACAGTAGCAGTATACTTTTTCAAGGTACATATAAATTACTCTATCGTGAAATTAGAATGCAATAAAATAATATTCTGTTCAGTTACAGGATGAACCAAATCCATTCATAGAAGAAATAGTAAGAAGCTTGAATTCCATTCAGGAAGCCCATTCTTCTATGCGCATAGTTCCCAGACCGTTGACAGATATTATGAGACCGTTCACAGAAGATTATTTTTTATACTGGGGTCCAATAGTAACTGCGCATAATGTGCATAATGTTCTGTGGCTGATCGCTAGAGAACCGATTGGAATTACTGCTAGACAAGTAAATTTGTAAAAATACATCTTAATATATCTGAAAACTGAATATGTCACTTATATTAAACTCTGTATAACATTTGATACATATAGTAATTATATTGAACATATAACGTGTTCTATATTATCCATAAGTATAATATAATAAATAATAATCGCTATGTAATAAAATTCTCCACGTAATAAAATACTCCACATACAATATTTAAATTGAAAAATGAAATTGACATTTTTTTCAATCATTTTTGTTATATGATTTTACAATTTTTGTTTACTTAGATCGCAGAATTTCGAAAGTTGAACGACGAAGGACATCATCCCTTATTGTCGAATTTACGCCCTCTGCAAACAAGCGGGAGAAGGAACGTCTTCCATGTTTGTCGATCGGGGTCGCTGTATGCCTCACTATTACCACTTCCACGTGATTCAACAGCCACTCAAGATACAACTGGTGAAACACAGTGAAAATGTTATTGCAGTTGTTATATAAAACAATTCTTATAGACTTTGATGAGTAAGTAATTTAAACATAAATTTTTCAACTTTTCAATTTTGGAATTTTTCAATTTTTCAATTTTTCAATTTTTCAATTTTTCAATCTTTCAATTTTTCGATTTGTCAATCTTTCAATTTTTCGATTTGCAATTTTTCAATCTTTCAATCTTTCAATCTTTCAATTTTTCAATTTTTCAATTTTTGGAATTTATAAATTTCTAAATCTCTGAATTTTCAAATCTTCCACGTTCCGAATCTCCAGATTTCCAAATCCCCAAATTTGCAGATTCCCCAATTTCCAAATCCCTAAATCTCCAGATACCAATATTACCAAATCCCTAAATCTTCATATTCGCAAATTTTCCCATCCCCAATTTCCAAATTCCTAAATTTTTATATTTCCAAATTTTCACATCCTCAAGTTTCAAATCCCCATATCCACGGATCCCCAAATTTCCAAATCCCCATATTTCGAAATATTCAATCTCAAATTTCAAAATACTCAAATCTCAAACCACAAAATTTTTTAATTTCTGAAGTCATAAATTTGCAAATCTTGATTGCTCTCGTTTGCACTTTCTACTAAACTACCTCAAGCTTCAAATTCATACTTCATCAATGTTCCATATCTTTGCTATCAATTTATGTCATGAAATCATAATAAATACTCTATATTTCCAAATAAGTTATTTACTACATAATAATTTAACGAATTAATTAAATCATTTTCTGCGTCTTCTACGTCTTCGAATCCGTTGCTTCTTCAGATCACAGTCGGGATACAAGGACGCGCAGTCGGCTCCACCTAAACCCAGCACCGAAGCTTTTACAGAATCCAACATTGCCGACCATGGAGATCCTTTCAATACTCTGCCGGATACCCAACTCATTCCTAGACTGGAAAAGGATGATCCCATGATTATCGAATGTATGTACATTTCTTCAAAGTAATTTTCAACAAGAGTACACAAGAAATGTAGCCATTATCTGTTTTATACATGTTTAGTATGTTTATGAAATAATGATAGTCATTGTCATTTAAAGAATGTAGAAAATAATAGTAGTCATATTTTGAAAAATATATAAAAGTAGTCGATGTTATTTTGAAATATGAAATAATAGTAATAAATTAATATGTATGAAATAAACATAGTCATTGTTATTGCGAAAAGTGTATGAAATAGTGTTAATTTAAAATTGTGTAAAGTAGCAATAAGTAAAATGTATGAAATAATAGTAAACATTGTTGTTTTAAAAATGTGAAGTAACAGTACTCATTGCTGATTTAAAAATATGAAATAAAAGTAGTCATTGCTGTTTTAAAAATATGAAATAAAAGTAGTCATTGCTGTTTTCAAATATGAAGTAAAAGTAGTCGTTGCTGTTTTAAAAATATGAAGTACAAGTAGTCATTGCTGTTTTAAAAATATGAAGTAAAAGTAGTCGTTGCTGTTTTCAAATATGAAGTAAAAGTAGTCGTTGCTGTTTTAAAAATATGAAATAAAAGTAGTCATTGCTCTTTTAAAGATATGAAATAAAAGTAGTCATTGGCAGGTTGGATATGTGTGAAATAATAGCATTTGTCATTTTAAAAATGTATGAATAAACAGTTGCCATTATTATTTTAACAAATGTACGAAATACTAGTAGTCAATATTATTTTAAAAGGTGTAGTAATTAAAAAAAATTAAGCAAACTAAAAAATGAAGTAAAAACGTAGTAATATATCAGTCGACACGATATATTTGAAACTAATTACTTGTATCTCACCTCCAAACAGGCATCCAAATTTTGCGTGCATCGCGTGTTTGCGTGGAGTGTCGATTGTCTTCGCAGAGGATTCTACGAACGCAATTTCCGAAATCTAAATCAGCAACCATAACAGCTTCGATGCTTCTCAACACGCTGTAAGACAATTCGTTTAATTCTTCGTTGCTCGTGTATGAAAAACCACCTGCGTCTCTTTTTAAACGTTTTACTTGGGTCATCATTGTAACTGTTGTTGTGTTCATGTTAGCCTGTGAAATATGTAACGAATTGTATTAAAAAATAAAAACAAATATAATGTGTATAATTGTTGTAAAATAAATGCAATTCTAAATTAATTATTTTAATTTTAATTTTTAAGGTTGATGATGTACTTTAAGTTCCATTGTGATGGTGTTACTATAGTTTCAAATAATTTGATGTTCAAAAGTGTAGGATATTTTATTTAGTTTAAAATGTATATAAACTGGAGAACATACTTCAAACTTCATTGTGAAAGTATCACTACAGCTTCGAATAATTTGATGTTCAAAAGTGTTTGATATTTTATTTAGCTTGAGATGTAATTGATAACATCATAATTTAACAATGATAACACGTTCTAAACTTCAATATGGTAGTATTACTACAACATCAGGTAGATTGATCTTCAAAATTGTTTGATATTTTATTTAGTTTCAGATGAAATTGACAACATCATAATGTAACATAGGTAACATACTTCAAATTCTATTATGGTAATATTACTACAACCACAAGTAGTTTGACCTTCAAAAGTATTTGCCATTTTATTTAGTTGAAGATGTACATAAAATTGAGAACATACTTCAAACTTCATTGTGAGAGTATCACTACAGCTTCAAACAATTTGATGTTCAAAAGTGTTTGATATTTTATTTAGTTTGAGATGAAATTTGATAACAGTGAATAATAACTTTGATAACATGTTCTGAATTCCATTATGATGAGAACATGCTTTGAGCTTCATTATAACAATGCTACTACAGCTTCAAATATTTAAAAATTCAAAAGAGTTTGATATTTTACATTCTCCAAGATTTAAATCAATAATATACTTTGAGATGAGTACAATCTAATAATATAGTAAATCTAAATAATAATTGATAGTATACATTTTTGCTCCTTACCGTAGCATTCATAAGCAGCTGAATAATAAACAATCCAAAAGCTAGAAAAGCCAGAGCAGTAAGTGCAATTTCGAAAAAATCCTTAACAGACAGCTCATTTCCTTTCCCTTTGTAATATGGTTTGTGATACTCTTCTTCGTGGTCCGGATACATAGGTGCAGTGTAATAATGTTCTTCGTGTATGGCTGGAAATGTTTCGGTGTGGTGCAAGACATGACCGCCATGGCCACCGTAGCCGCCATGGCCACCGTAGCCTCCATGACCATAACCGAGACCGTAATAAAAGTTTTGTCCCGAGGAGGACGACAGCATATGATCTGTTTAGTAAAAGAAAATAATCTATGGTTGTAGAAAATAGTTAATTTTGGAGATTTGTGTTCGTTCCAACATTCCACAATTCCAAAATTCTAACCATCCCACATTCTAAAATTCTAACATTCTCACATTCCAGCATTCCACAATTTCAAAATTCTAACCATCCCACATTTCAAAATTCTAACATTCTCACACTCCAACATTTCACAATTCCAAAATTCTCAGATTCTCACATTCCAACATTCCACAATTCCAAAGTTCTAACATTCTCACATTCCAGCATTCCACGATTCCAAAATTCTAACCATCCCACATTTCAAAATTCTAACATTCTCACATTCTAGCATTCCACAATTCCAAAATTCTAACCATGCTACATTTCAAAATTCTAACATTCTCACA